CCCCTTCCCTCTTCCCTCTGAGATATGACAGTCTCTTGCATGCTTCAGTGTCTCTGGTTCTATTTAGCTTGTGAGATTCCTATGTTCATTAGTTTCTTCTTAAAGAAGACCCTTCAACATTTGTAGTACTGGTTTGGTGGTGATGAACTCCTTTAGCTTTTTCTTATCTGAGAAGCTCTTTACCTGACCTTCAGTTCTAAATGATAGCTTTGCTGGGTAGAGTAATCTTAGCCGTAGGTTCTTGCTTTTCATCACTTTGAGTATTTCTTGCCACTCCCTTTGGCCCGCAAAGTTTCTGTTGAGAAATCCGGTGACAGTCTTATGGGAGCTCCCTTGTAGGTAACTAATTGCTTTTGTCTTGCTGCTTTTACGATTCTCTCTTTGTCTTTAACCTTTGGCATTTTAATTATGATGTGTCTTACTGTGGGACTCTTTGGGTTCCTCTCGTTTGGGACTCTCTGTGCTTCCTGGACTTGTAAGTCTATTTCTTTCACCAGGTAGGGGAAGTTTTCTGTTATTTTTTTTCCAAATAGGTTATCAATTTCTTGCTCTTTCTTCTCCTCCTGTAATCCCCATAATGCGAATGTTGGGTTACTTGAAGTTGTCCCAGAGACTCTTTAAACTATCTTTATATTTCCGGATTCTTTTTTCTTTTTGCTCTTCTGGTTGGGTGTTTTTTGCTTCCTCATATAAGAAATTGCTGATTTGATTCCCGGCATCCTCTACTGTACTGTTGATTCCATGTAAATTATTCTTCATTTCAGATCATGTAGCCTTCATTTCTGATTGGTACTTTATTATGTCATTGATGACCTCACTAGTTTCCTTAGTAGTCTTACTAAGATCTTTGAGCATCCTTATAACCATTATTCTTNNAGTCATTGTTGATCGGCTGCCTCCTGCACTCCCCTGACTGGGGATCCAGCCCACAACCTGGGTATGTGCCCTGACTAGGAATCAAACCACGATCTCTGGATCCTAGGTCAATGCTCAACCACTGAGCCCCTCCCCGCCGTGCTATAACCATTATTCTGACTCTGAATCTAGTAGCTTGCTTGGTTTTATTTCATTTAGATCCTTTTCTGGAGATTTCTTGGGTTCTTTCCTTTGTGACATGTTTCTTTGCCTCCACATTTTGGCTACTTCCTGGTGTTTGTTTCTATGTATTAGGAAGATCTGCTTTGTCTCCTGGAATTTGTAGAGTGGCTTTGTGTAGTAGGTGTCCTGTAGGGTCCATTGGTTCAGCCTCCCCAGTCACCTAAGCTGGACCTTCTAGATGCTCCCCTGTGTGGGCTGTGTGCATTGTCCTGTTGTAGTTGAGCCTTGGTTGCTGTTTGTGTATGGGAGGAATTGACCCCCATGCCAGTCGGCTGTGAGGACCAGCTGTAACTACAGCCAAAGAGCTGCTATGCTGGAGACACCCTTATGGAGCAGGATTTACTTCAGTGGTGGTTTGGTGTTCACTGAGTCCACCCCTTGAGTGTGTCACTCATGGATGTGGTAGGGTTGTAATTTAGCGTGGTTGAGTCTGACCACCAGGTGCACTGTCTCTGGGGCCTCCCAAGAGGTGCAAAGTCAGCCTCTTCCTGTGCCTTGCCCAGGGCCACCCAGCATGAGCTACACAGCAAACTTAGATGGCTGCTACTTGGGCCTGTCTTGGCTGGACAGAAGAGGCCAAGCTATGAACCAGTGCAAGCTGCCACTAGTTCCAGGCCTGGGGCCACTTATCCAGATGTATGGGGCTCACCGAGGCCTGCTGCTGCTTGTTTGAGAGATTTTAGGAAAGTCCTAAGCATAAGGCTAGAGAGGTCACTTGCATAGAAAAACCACTAGAAATGGCTTGGACGAGCTTGCAAGTAGGGAGCGGTGGGGTCTCTGGGAATCACCAGGGTGGGGCCAAAAGTGTGAGTCAGGTTGATGGAATTTCAGAGAAGCACCTGCCTGTTGGCTCTGTGCAGGGAAAGCTCACCAAAGGAGCAATGGCCTCTGCATGCTCCTCTGTCTGGCAGAAAGCTGCCCCTCCAGCTCTCACCCTGATTTCAGGCAAGTTAGTTCCTCCTTGAATGTCCCAGGTTCCCTTCAAGCTACTATCCAGCACTGGAGCTCAGAGGGAGCACGTCTGAGTGAGTCCATGGGCCCTTTAAGAAGAGCTGCCAGAGACTCCTACTCCGAGTCCCTCAGCCACAATCCCTGCTAGTTTTCACAGCTCAAAGTTGTGGGGCTTCTCTTCTTGGCCCTGGAACCCTGGGCTGGGAGCCTGGTGTGGGGCTGGGACCCCTTACTCCTCTGGGAAACCACCACCACTGAGATATCCCTCCCAGTTTTAAACCTCAGCGCCTGGGTGTGGTCCTGCAGATTCAGCCCCGATTCGCGGCTCTGTCCCTCCTACCGGTCTTGATGCTTTTTCACTTCCCTGGTTGTAGGACTTCTGTTCAGCTAGATTTCAGGAGGCTCTGAGCGATGGTGGTTCTGTATTTTAGTTGTAATTTTGATGTGGTTGTGGGAGGCGGTGGGTACCGCAACTACCTATGGCGCCAGCTTGTCCATCCTCCAATTTTAAAAACTTTTGTCTTTTTTTCCCTATCTTTTAATTTCCGAAGTACTATGGAGAAAGTACTCATTCTCACAGATATTAAGAGCATACTTAGTGGTGCCTTGTTATCTAACTTATCAAGAATCCTTTTTATTTTTAGTTCTGTATCAGTTCTCTTTTATGTTGTTTTATTATTATTATTTTAGAAATACACTAATAATTTTTGTTTGCTTCTAGAAAAACTGATTGCTTATCAACGAGAATTTCTTGCTTTGAAAGAACGTCTTCGAATAGCTGAACGTAGAATCTCTCAGCGCTCTTCTGAATTAAGTGCCGTTGTACAGCAGTTCAGGCGTGTAGGAGCAGAAACAAATGGAAAAGACACATTGACTAACTTTTCAGGTACCAATTATTTTTCTTGTTTTATAAAAATTATATTTTCAGAGGCTTATGGAAAATATTTTATTTGAATTTTGTATAGATTAGCTTATCCGCCAACATTTGTTACCCTTTTCAGAGAAAAAAAAATCTCCACAGAAAACTTTGTATTATGGTAAACTATAGAGCAGTTTTTATTAATTGATTTTCAGAGAGTAATAATGGATTAAATTCCAGTTGTGTAAATTTCATTGACAATAATGTTTTTATGTTTTAAAAATAATATTCAAAATGAGGTCAAAATTCAACTTTGCATTTATATGTGTTTATGTTGTGACTTTTGTTGACTTCAAATGGACTCTGGAGAATCTTTGAGCTCTTTGAAGCAATTAATGCTCTTAGATCTGACATAAGAAAAGAATATAAAGTTTTAGAGATACTTGACTTTTTTTCTCTCTGAGAACTTCTGGTCAGAATAAGATAAGTGCCAGTCATCTCTCTGTTTCTGTGACGTTGTTTTTCTAATATTAAATCGATATGTGTATAATCAGTTGCCTTCAAATTTACATACTATTTAAAGATTAATATGCTTTTTACTTAGCATCGTTTGTTGTAATCCTTTACCATTAATTCCTCTTGTCTTGAGATTTATTAACTTACCTTATTTTTATTTTTATTCTATTCTTTTAATATATCTTTATTGATTTCAGAGAGAGGAAAGGAGAGGAAGAGAGAGAGAGAGAGATAGAAACATCAGTGATGAGAGAGCCATTGATTGGCTGCCTCCTACACGCCCTGACTGGGGATCGAGCCGGCAACCCAAGCATGTGCCCTGACTGGAAATCACACCCTGGATCACCTGGATCCTAGGTCGATGCTCAACCCCTGAGCCACGCCTGGCTGGGCCTTACCTTATTTTTAAAGTTTTATGCTTATCATTTCCCCTCCTGATTATGAAATTGTATTATGGCACAGTAACATTTAAAATTATGGAATGGTAACGCAGCCAGAGTGGCTCAGTTGATTGAGCATTGTTTTGTGCACTGAAATGTTGCTGGTTGATTCTTGCTGGTTCGATTCAGGGCACATACCTGGGTTGTGTGGGTTTAGGCCCTGGTCGGGGCATATATGGAAGGCAATCAATCAGTGTTTCTCACATCGATATCTCTCTCTCTCTCTCTCTCTCCCCCACCTTCTCTCTCTCTCTCTCTCTCTCTCTCTCTCTCTCTCTCTCCTTCCCCCCCTTCCTCTCTCTAAGCATGTCCTCAAGTGATGATTAATAATAATAAAATTATGGAATGGTATAAATAATAAAAAGAAATTATCCATAAACCTTTACCAAGTGATTTCTGTTAACATCTTTTTGTTTTTGTCTAGTCTCTTTTTCATGAGTATTTTTCTTCAAAATTGTGATTGTGGGTTATAGCCTGATTTTTACCCTTGAAATTATGTTGTTAGCATTTACTGTGTCTTTGAATGTTCTTCAAAAATACCATTTCTAATGGCTGTATAACTTGTCAACTAGTCATATACTGTAATATATTAAACATTTTAAAATAATTAGGCAAATAGAATTTTCTGAGTGGTTTTTCTACCCCAGTTTATAGCTCTGTGATGAACATCTTTGCATATAAATCAATCACATTTCTGGTAGCCCTTAAATTATTTTCATTAGGTTATGACTTTCTTAAAAACAGGATTTATGTTTTGACAACTTTTGATTTCTAAACAACACGGCACAGTAGCTGCATCAAAATAGATAATCACTAAATATTCATTGAATGCATAAAAGTTAAATTCCTAAAAGGGAAGTTATTGAATAATAGGACGGAGATATGTTAGGGTTTTTGATGTTGTCCTGAATAGCTGAAACATTTACCACATTATCACCAAAATTTAATATCATTATTTAATTTGCTTGCAAAAGTGTCCCTTTCATTTTAAATGGGGATTTCATTCACCAGAGTATCAAATTAGGAAAGAATGTTCTTTAGTTCTAGTTTTCATAAATTTTACTACTGTATTTGTAAAAGCTGCAACTTCTATAAGTAAGGTGTCTTGTGTGATAATTATACTTCTGTGTTTCAGATAATACCCTAAAGCTATTAAAGGAGTTAACAAGCAAAAAATCTCTTCAAGTGCCAAATATTTATTATCATTTGCCTCATTTATTGCAAAATGAAGGAAGCCTTCAACCTGCTGTGCATATTGGTAATGGAAGAACAGGAGGTATGTTTATTTTGTTTCTTTTTGTGGTTGTACTGCTGGTCTTAATTTGTGTCTTGGAGTATTACATTGACTGTTAGCAGTCTGGTAGGTCAAAGAATAAAAGTTATTTTTCTGTGCACAGTAACTTAGGACTTATTCTAAAGTTCATATTGAAAGAAGTTGGACGTTTTTTCCATAGACCAAATTAATAGAGCTGAAAAGGATCATGAGAAATCTAGTTCAAGCCCCATCTCTAGGGAGAAAAATGTTTAAACTTTTGTCAGTTTTAATTTTAAATATTAAAATTAATCCACATCCAGACCCTCCCACATTTGCAGAGGCAGGCTGCAATTTTCCAGAGGTGGTAACTCTTAAAATAGCATGTTCAGACTATGATTTAAGAAATATTTTTTAGAAGGTACTGGATTACAAAAACTAACAAGATGTATAGCATTCTCAAAAGTATTTTTTTAGAACACTGATCATTAGTTATTTCTTTTAATAATCACTGTTTAGGTAAGATGCCTTAGCCATTTAGTGCATTCGTTGCTTTAGACATCATTAATCTTATTAAAAGAATACCAAATACCAAAGGAAAGTACAAGTGTCTTTAAAGTCATTTAAAACTTTAGAATTACTAACAGATTATTTTATAGCAGTGTTTTTATTCTATGAATGTGACATTCTCTCTCTTCCTTTTGAAGATTACTGTTCTATCCCATTGGTTTATAACTTTATCCATCTTAAATACAATGACATATTGGTCAACCGGCTTTCCAGTAGTTAACATTCTTATTAAGATGACACTGTTTTTGAGAGAGAGAAAAAGCAGACAGCTCGGAAAAAAAAGAAGAAAACCCTCACATTTACTAAAAAAATAATCTTTCCTCCCAAACCCTTAAGGCAATGGTTCTTAACACTTTTAGAGTCACAGAACCCTTTGGATAGCCTAGGAAAAGTGTCCAACTTCTACTTTAAAAATGTACCTAGGAAAAGTAATTTTGTATGTAATTTCTGGAATTTTGTGGAACCTTAAAATCTATTTAGGGGCTTTCTATTGAGAACTTCTGTTTTTTAGATCAAAGAAAAACTGCTTCTTGCTAAAAATTCTGTTCTTCAGTGGTCATACTGATTAAGGAACAATACTCAGACCACCTAAGCTAAGCCTTTCTAAGGCTGAAGAGGGAGCATTGTGCTCCAGGCAGCCACTTCCCCTCCAGAAAGGGGCTAGAATTCTCACATCCAGAATGAAAAACTGTCAGCCCATTCCACGCCCCCACATCCAGATCTTCCCACAACATTTGCAGAGACAGGTCGCAGTACATAGCCATGGCAATGACAGTGGCATCTTGTACAGCTAGGGTTTGCAAATAGTTAAGAAAATTGACATCATGAATGACTTAATATTCAATAAAATGATTTTGTAGGGTAATTATAATATAATTTAAAAATAAATATATTTTTAATTTTTATTTATTAATTTTAGGGGGGGAGAGAGAGAAAGAGAGACATCGATTTATTGTTTCACTTATTTATGCATTCATTGGTTGCCTCTTGTGTGTGCCCTGCCTGGGAATCGAACCCACAACCTTGGCCTGTTGGGACAATACTCTAAACAACTGAACTCCCCAGCTAGGGCCAAAAATAATATATTTTTAGAGGGAAGAGAGAGGTCAACTCATAACTGATTATTATAAAAGGATCAGCTAGAAATCTTTGTGTTTTTATTTAATGATTATTTTTAAAATTTTCACATAAATGAATTGATAAGCAGAGTAGACACAGCTGAGGGTCAAATTAGTGATCAGAAAGATTGAGCTGTGTAGTTCTTCTAGACTCCAGCATAAAAGGCACAATGAACTGGGGCAGACAAAAGTTTGAACATCCATCAAATAGGAATTTCAGGAGAGAACAAAGAGAGTGAAGAGAGGAAATAATCAAATATATTATAGAAGAAAATTTCTTTGAATTGAAGAAACACACAGGTTTTCAGATGAAGGGCCTGTTCAGTGCTGAGCAAGATGGCTGAGAAAAGACCCTCTACACATCACCTGCCAAAATGGCATTACTGGTTGGTAGAGGACAGCAGACCATTCTTTAAGTAGTTGCTGAAATAAAAAATTCATGAGCACCTGCTACGTGCCAGGCACTTAGCCAGGTACTTTGGTATACAAAATTAGACGAGATTCCTAGTCTTTTGGAGCTTCAATTCAAAGGAGAGTACATTAATCAAATAATCAATTATATAAATAATTGCATAGTTACAACTTTAATTGGTGACATAAATGATGCTTTGAGAATGTACATAAAGGGCATTTGATTTAAGTAAGGAAAATGGGAAAGTTTAAAAAACACATTTGACCTGAGATCAGTAGAATATGTAGTTTTCTACTAAAGATGGGTGTATTTGCTTCATATTTCTACTATAACAAATTACCACAAGCCCAGTGACTTAATAGAAGTCTGTGACCTTATAGTTTTGGGGGGTCAGAAGTCCTAAAATCAGTGTGTTAACAGAGTCATGTCCCTAGGGTTTGGAAGCTTTAGGGAGGAGTCCATTTCCTTGCCTTTTCCAGCTTCTAGAGATCACCTACATTTATTAGTTTGTGCCCCTCCATCTTCAAAGCATAACATCTTCAGCTCTCTCTCTGACTGTCTCCCTTGCTTTCATTGTCACTTTACCTCTCATTTTGATTCTCCTGCCTTCCTCTCATAAGGACCCCTGAGTACATTAGACTCACCTGGGTAATCCAGGATAATCTTCCCATCTGAAGACCCTTAATCATATCCACAAAGTCCCTTTTGCCATTAAGGTAATATATTCATAAATTCCAGGAGTTGTGGTATGGGCATCTTGGGGAAGGGGGCAGTATTCTACCACATGGGAGAAAAGAATATTCCAGAAAATGAGAAAAGTGGCACAGAAGCCCTTGATGGAAGGGAGCATGGAATGCTCTAGAAAATGGAAGAAGACCATTGTAGATGAAGTATAGAGTGATAAGAAAGCACGGGACAAGATGAGACTAGAAATGTATTGAGCCCAGACCATGCAGGGCCTTGTAGACCATTTATAGCGTTTGGGATTTTATCCTAAGAGCAGAAAGAAGCCACTGAAGGGTTTTAAGCAGGACTTGCTTAGGATGACTTTATAAGATTTAAATTTTACAAAGCTCACATTTGATGCAATGAGAAGAATGAATGAAGATGTGGGAAGAAGAGTAGATGTGAAAGAACCCAATAAGAGACGGTTCTAGGGATCCACTTGAGAGAAGATGAGCTTGGGCTAGGCGGTAGTGATAGTAGTAGAGGTGGAAAGTTGAAGATCTGCGAGTTGTTTGGAATGTATGGGGATGTAAATAGCAGGACATAGTGATGGACGGTTTTGTGGGCTAAGGTAGAGGTAGTAGTCAGGGATAGGTCCTAGGCTTCTGGATCGTGTAACTGGATGGATGGTATTATTCACTGAGATAAAGGACAGTAGAAAATGTTCAGTAATATTGGTTTGCAAGATAAGACCATAAATTATATTTGGATATGTTAAGTTAGGAGGCGATTTGGAGTTGTCAGTGGAGTATAGGCAGCTGGATATTTAGATCTGGGACTCAAAGGAGAGAACTGAGTTAGATTTAATTTTATGAGTCATCACTTGCAAACAACTGGTTTTTGAAGATAGGGGGATGGATGAGATCACCTGGAACCTAGAACTGAGCCTTAAATGGTTCTCCAACAGTTAATTTTCAGGAAAAAGAAAGATGAAGCCAACAAAGACAGAAGTTGCAACTAGACAGTAGAGATAAAACTATTGTCATGGAATACAAGGGAAAAAATGGGGAATAAATGACTAAAATCAAACCATAGAAGCATGATAGGCTAAAAATATTTGACTAGCAGTGAATATTGAAAAAGGAAAACAATTTAGTTATAACTGAAGCTAGACTAGTAATTGAAGATTCAGAATGCCAAATTAAGATTATTCCTAAATTTTTCTTGATCATAATGGAAATAAATACTAGAATTTGTAAACTTCCCAGGAAAATTGAGGAAAACGGAAGTAACATTAGTTGATATTTTTTTCAAATTATAAACCCCATGAGGCAGCGGCCTTACCTATCTTATGATTATATTTTAGATTGTCTAATACATAATTGATGTATTATAGATGCATAATTAATACTTGAATAGGCAATATTGGATGATTAATTCGTGGAACAAAGTACTTAGCTCCATTCCTATTGGCTCCTTGGTCCACCTGGCTCCTCTTTGAAAGGGTGAAATGTCTGTATTGCTCACAGTGCTGACATAATTATTTTGAACTCTTACCCTTTAGAGTACATACATTTCTAGATTGCACGCCATAGAAGAGCATGTTATCAAACAGGACCAGGACGGGCTGGGTTATGCTTTGGTAACAGCAACCCCCAAATCTCATTGGTTTAAGTAATACATGATTATTTATTTATTTATTTTTGCTCAAAGTACTTGTCCATCAGCCTTGTGCATCATCAACCACGTAGAGATTCAGGCAGACAGAACAGTTGCCCTCTTGAATGTCATTGGCTGCTCTGCTGAGGAAGAAAGACAGCTTTGAAGGATTTCACACTGCAGTTCCAGGGCCTCAGCCCATGATTTTCCCATGGGGATGACTCACTGTCCCTTACTAATCACAGCCCCTCACTGTTCTCCCAGCCCTAAGGGGGCCAGGAAGTACAATCTTACCTTGTGACCAGAAGGCAGGAAAAACTGTCTATTTTGGTGATAATTTTGTGAAATATCATAAGCATGAATACTCTAATTCTGTAAGTTTACCTGAAATTAGTATTTTCATTTTTAGTGTTTTTAGAATCCTTGAGTGCCTTGTTTAAACTAAAGCATTTAAATTCCAGCTCCAAAACAGTGCATTTGGGGAAAACGGCTTCTCTAAACATGCCATCTAAAGTTAAAACAGAAACAAAACAACCCAAGACCGTGGTAGGGAATAGAGTTTGCATTATAACTTTATACAGTTCGTTTGCATACTCTGGGTCGGCATGTATTTTGCTTTTTCCATACACAGAGTCTTTCAGCTCCCTCTGAGTTAACATTTCTTAGGAATGCTTTGTATCATAGACTCTATACTTTTAGTCTATGTTCTAAATATTTAAAATATTTTTAATTTAAATTCTGAAGTAGGTTAAAGTATAAGGAAATTTGCTTCCAGGGTAACTCATCCTGTCTTTAGGCATCCCAGAGCAACAGTGTGTTCTCAATAAAAGACCCCCCCATCCACTTACACCATCCTTCAATTCTCTCCCAGTCTTAAGCCCCATTGGAGAGGGTCTCCAAAATATGTCCTAGCCCTGGCCTGGTGGCTCAGTTGGTTGGAACATCATCCCATACACAAAGGTTGTGGGTTCAATTCCCAGTCAGGGCACATACCTAGGTTGTAGGCTCGATCCCTATTTGGGACGTTGCGGGAGGCAACTGATCGATGTTTCTCACATCAATGTTTCTCTCTCTCTCCCCCTCCTCCCTCTAAAAATCAATAAACATATCCTAAAGTGAGGATAAATCCATCCACTCATCTCCATCTTTAAATACCCTAATTCAAACCACCATCATTTCCTTTAATTACTGCAGTTAACTTCCTGATTTCCCCCAAAATGTTTTTACTCTTAACACTTTCGTATCTGTTCTCCACAAAATTTGATAAACTTTTAAAATTGATGAATTGGATAAGGTCACTCACCTACTTACAGCTTTATAATGGCTTTCTCTAACTCAGAATTAAAACTAAATTTACAGTTTCATGTGAAATGATCTGCATCTAGGCTCATTCTGCTTTAGAAACATTCTGTTTTTGGCTGTTTCTTAACTATGTTAAAGTCATTGTCTCTTCAGGGCCTTGCTGTTTCTTCTTCAGGAATGTTCTTCCTCTGCTCTTTCTCATCATTAATTACCAGCTCAGTTGATACCAGAGAGGCCTTCGATGGCCTTCAGTATCTATAAGGGTACCCCCCCTTTCTAATATTGCCACATTTTAATTTGTATAGCACACATGATCCTCTAAGATTGTATTATTTTATCTTCTCCTCTCTTCTGGAATGTAGGTTCCAGGAGGGCTGGGACCTTACCTGTGCTGTTCACTATTACATCCCTATGCCTTACATTTAATAGGTGCTCAGTAAATATGTTTGGAAAAAATATAGTAAATCTCTTTTTGAGCCCTTATAAACTCTTTGTCCCAAAACGGAAGAGAGGAATGTGAAACTTCAGGGAAGTCCCTTAAATTATTTGGATCTTATCATTCTTACTGCAGAATCATGGTGGTAGACTCGTAGATCCATGACCTTTAACCTTCCTTTTAGCTTTAGAATTCTATGAATTCTAAGTATTTTGTAGTATCTCTAATAAATTGTTAAAACCTAATTATTTTTAATACTTGTTAAGTATTTCTCTACTGATATATAACATGCAGGATACTAAGGCTCCTTAAAAGATGATATTTTTTAAAACTGGGAAATACAGTCCTACTATAACACAGTATATGCATTCCTAAAAATTACTGCACTATGCAGAACTGTGCAATAAACTGAGAAAATGGGATTAGGATTACAGCACTCAACAATTTTGCCAGTTACACATTAAAAAAGATAAGAACCTAATAAAAGTGGTAGCACAACTTTACATACGTTATGTGATTAATAAATAGAAAGTTACTACAATAAATATGGTACTCTACCTTGGAAAAGATCTGAGGTTTGTGTGTTAAAATAGCCTTCAGAAGGACTGCAGCTTGGAAGCTTTTGAGAAGTGGTGCAAGGCAGATTCTCTGAAATTTGACAGAAAGTTGTAACACCACATGTGGATAGCTGTGGTTCATAGCATGCAGTAAGCTGATGTAGTGGGTAGTGTGTGCATTTTGTGTATTTCTGCATTGCTCTGTTCAGTTTTCTGAACTCAGTTCCAGTAGTTGCAGTTTTCTGTGTTTGTCCAGAGGAGAAATTGCACAGAAGCAAATGTAAAATCCATGTTATGCTGAAATGGTTCCCTAATATATTTTAATATCACATAGGGACAAATTTGCATTTCAAAACAAACATGATAGCAGAACTGAAATTTCAGACTTAAAAAAAGTTACATGAATAGTGCAGTTTCCATATAGCTCACCCAGTTCCTCTAAACGTTTATATCTTATGTAACCATAGTACCATGATCAAAACCAAAACATAAACATTGATATTATACTGTTAATTAACCTTCCATCTTATTCAGATTTTGCCATTTTTTTTATTAGTATTTTTCTGTTTCAGGATGCAGTTCAGAATCCCATATTTTGCCCAATTATCATGTCTCCTTAGTCTTCCTGTCAGGGACAGTTCCTCGTTCTTCCTTATCTTTCCTGACCTTGGCACTTCAGAGGGTACTGACCTGTCAGTTACTGTGTGGTGTATCCCCCTAATTTGGGTTTGTCTTGTGCTTCTTCATGCTTAGATTGAGGTCATTCATTATGGGCAAAGAAACCACAGAAGGGGTGTCATGTCCTTCTCAGTGCATCATATACATGAGATTTGGGACATTAATTTTTAAGGTGTGTGTAGTGTTTCTAAGGTTTAGTTGTATAATTTGTTGTTTATACTGTACAGTCATTCATTTTTAATGTGAGGTTTAATATCCTTCATTTTTATCAGTTCTTTGACATTATTATAGCCAATAATCCCTGTGGCTTATTACAGTATTATGAGTATGCCTTTATATCCTTTGGTTATTTTTCTTTCTGAAATGTACATTTTGATCCCTCAGTTATTTTTATCAATTCAAGAGTGTATAAAACTTCTGAAGTAGTGGTGTTTTTCTATATTGTCTCTGTAAAATCTTTTTATATAATTATTATTTTGTTTTCAGTTTCAGTAGTAATGGGAATTCCCACTGTGAAGAGAGAAGTTAAATCTTACCTCACAGAAACTCTTCATTCCCTTATTGATAATCTGTATCCCGAAGAGAAGTTGGACTGTGTAATAGTAGTCTTCATAGGAGAGGTAATTATTTAATTGGGGTTTTTTTACCACATGTAATCTATAACAGTTGAAACTATAATTGAATATTTGAATATTCTTTTATGAGCATTTTTTTTAATGTGATGAGGAACGGTTAGGTAATATATTCTATCAGATAATTAAATTTAAGTCTAACTTGTTATGTTTGTCTTAACTTCTCTCCTGCAGCTACAACCCAGGAATAGCCATCTGTTTGCAGTAGGATAATATTACTATATAGACACATAGACCTTTAAGAACAGAGTCCCTGTCTCTAGCTCTAGGACCTAAATTTGGAGATTTGCGCTGATGGGCTTCGGGAGTGTTTTAAACCCCAGAAAGGTTTGGCCTAGCCTTGGGCTTTATCATCGTGTTATTCTCTCCACCCCTTATCTGTGCCTCAAGATGCAGGCAGCACCATTACTGAAAAGGTCAAAATATCATGAGAATGAGGAGTTTTATATATATTGTATTTTAGCTTTCTCAAAAGATCTAGGGAAAGAATAAATCTTGAGCAAGTTTTTCATAAATAATGAGGAAAAGGCACCCTGGAGTAATTATTTTCTGAATTATTATATAGAATTTCAGAATGTGAAAGGACTTAGAACATAACTGGTTCTGGCCCACTGATCCCCAACTTTTCAGTGTTTCCCTTATCTTTCTAATGAAAATGTCTTTAATGTTTTTCTTAATATAAGAGTAAACACATGCTTACTGTTCAAAACAAATACAGAAATGTGTAATGAAATATTACCTGTTGTTCCTCCATACAGATATAATTACAGATATTCTGAAATATATCTTAAGGAAGTTTTCCTATGGCTTGTATACATATATATAAATGGATTTGTTCTATATGTATTTTAATATCAGAGACATTTTATCATGTTAAAAAGAATAAATATCACAGCATTTTTTCTGGCTACAGAATATTCCATTGTATGGTTTTAATTAACATCATTCATTTAATTTCTGATTGCTAGACATTTAGACTGTTTCTAAGTTTTTGCTGTTCTTTTCCACATGGCATTCAGCATTACTGTACATAAATTTTTCTGTCCTTTGTATAGTTACTGAGGTGGGATCAGTTCCTAAATGTGGCATTGCCTTGGTCAGAGTCCACATACATTAAAATGTTCATACGTGGCCAGAATGGTCAATAGAAGTTAAGCCAGTTTACCCCTCTTCCAATACTCTGTGAGGAAGCTTGTTTCCCCATCCCCATGCTCTACTAGATAGTATTGGTCTTTAAAGTTTTTTGTCAACTTGATGGGTAAAAAATAATACATTGCTTCTGTTTAATTTTGATTTCTTTACTGAGTAGGGTTAAGTGTTAATTGATAGGTTTTTCTTGTACTATTTGTATTTATAATTATTTTTATAACCTTTGCTCTTTTTTATTTGTAAGAAATTTTCATATATGAGAGGAATGAATTCTTTGAAATATTTTGTCCAGTTTGTCTTTTGCATGAACTTCATTTATGATTTTTTTTGCCTTTTACATTTTAAGTAATTAAATTTGCTGATTGCATATTGTATACCAGTAAAAATTGGTACAACCTCCTTGGAAAGCAGTTTGGCAATAGCTATTAAAATTTAAAGTATACTTTGTCATCCAACTTTCTGCTTCTAAAAATTGATTCATTAGTAACATTTGCAAGTGTGTAAATCTGTTCAAGCACATACATACATGCATACAGCTCTTGCATGTGTATTAATAAAATAAATAGAGAAAATGGTCGTGTGGAATATCCTGCAAACTGTTAGTAACAGGTATCTTGAGAGTTGGGGTTATGGGAAGATCCCCCTTTCTACTGCATACAGTTTTAGAAAATTAGAATTTTTTTTTTTTTTTTAACAATGAACATATTTGATTTTTAGTAAGGAAAAAAGTCTTATTACTATAAAAGAATAAAACTATCCTTATATACCCGAAAAATAGTGTTCAGTATATAGACAGATTAGTGTACATAAAGATTCAAAACCCTCTAGCCATAGCCATTCATCTGATACTAAAATGTAATAACACTGGATTTGGAGACAGACGACCTGTGTTCAGGGCCTGGATTCTGCCACTTACTGCCACTTGAGCAAGTTATTTTTCTGTCTTCAGCCTCAGTTTCTTCATCGCTAAAATGAGAATAATGTTACTGAGCCTTTTGAGCTCAGTGTTGGTACAGGGAGGCACAAGGATATCACAGATGGAGAGGTGGTGTAAATTCAAGTGTTGGCAGTATTCTGATTTCTGAAGATAACTCCTCTGAATTGCAGTATTTGTATATGTATCTACATAGAATTTTAATGTTTGAAAGAAAATCTGTACTGAATAGAAGACTTTACAGAATTGATTGAATTGCCTTTAGGCAGTTTAAAATTCCTAATACATTTGGGTTCTACCTTGATTAGTAGTTTTAACTTAAGTGTGGGGTAGCCTGGAGCTCATTAACACTAGTTAACAAGTGATATTATGTGACCTTCACCTTGGTCTACATGTGGGATGTTTCCTGGATCTAAACAGATCTCTAGCCTCTCTCTGAACCCGTATTTCCAACTGCCTACTTAGTTTGAATTGTTTTTATGGGAACCTCTTAATCTGTCTATAATAATCTGGTTTCCTCAAACTGCTTCCCTTCCAGGTTTTCCATCTGTTTATTAAAGGTTCTTTATATCATAGTATTAATAGTTCTGTACTCTGGCCATTCTGTTCCCAGTTCATTACGTAGACGTTGTGCACTTTCAGTTCTGGTTATGTTATTTCTTAGCCTGAAACGTTATCTCTTTCTTTCTCTTTCTTATTCATTCTTCAGGTGCCTGCTTATCCCTTTTATAAAACTTTCCCAGTTGAAGTGAATCTAGAATAAATAGGCAAAGTAAATTTATCTTTTGCAAACATTTTCAGTTTTTGCAAAGGACTGAATTATCTCTGGTCCACTTTAACATATGAGAAGATTAAGCCTGAGAAGGAACTGGTGAGGAACCCACAGACAACAAAGGGCACCGTGACCTTGCCATCCCTGCCTGACTTCCTATCCTTTGCATTCTTTTTTCTTGAAGGGAAGGACCATAAAGTTCCCCTCTGGGAGTAGAAGAGAGACAGAAAAGTAATTATTAGCTGCAGTTTTGTTCTGGTGATTTCTCTCTCAGGAATTCATTGGGCATATCTGAAAAGACATTTATAGAGCATGCAAGGGTCTGGACAGTTGACTATTGATGCATTATTTGAAAGTTCACAGATTCTATTCTGGAATCGCAGAAGGAGTTAAGACTACTGAATTCCAGTTTTTCTGAAGGATCCATGAGATGACCCAAGGGTTCATGATTGTATCATTTTTGTGTCTACTTTTACATAGAACTTAATTATAATTTTTGTATTCTAATTCTTTGTTGTCTGTATGCCTCCTTATTTTTTTGTTATGTATTTATGCTATTATTCCATATATTTCTTATAATGCTATATTATTATTTATATTTTTATCATTCATGATCATTTCTGACAAAACATTTTCCTACATTGTACATGCACATGTTATATTAGTTTTTGTTTTCTGATTCATTAATATCTGCTTTTAACATTGATTTTTTCTGCTTTTGTTAGTTCCATGTTATACTTTACAAACATCTTGTCCCAAATACTAAATTGATTTATTTCCATTATTTATTTTTGTTAATATAAGAATTAATAAGAATTTTCTTCTGAACGTTGTGTTAGCTGTATTCCATAGGTTCTGTTTCCTAGATTTGTATCTGATTTTCATTGGTAAATGCTTTATAATGTCAATGCTATGTTTCTGGGTGAACTCTGATTAAGTGGTTTAGTCTTCTCTAGTTAGACAGTTCAGTGTGCTTTCAGGCAGCGTTAGTTACCTGAATGCTTTGGAACTATTTTACACCGCTAAAGCACCTGAGGAATATAGCAACCTCAGAAATCAGTAGTAGCCCTCTATAGTTATGTTATCTTAAGCTCTCATAATTACCTGTTAGTCTTTGTTTTAAGGAAAGGCAAAAGTACATATCTTATTCTGAGTATTCATTCACTCATTGAACAAGTATTTATTGAAGTACTAGAATGAGAAAGATACTGGAGGAGAGTAAAATCTCTTAAAAATCCATTAGACAACAGCTCGTATCTGGCATTACACAGTAATAATTTTCTATACCTTCGTCAATTTTTAACAAATTTTTTTTGTATTTATCATGCACATGGCTTAAGAGTCCAATTATTCTACAAAGTTCATTATAGTATTAAACAGCATTCTCCTGTCTTTATTTTTCTGTCCCCACTTCCTTTTCTTTTTCTTTCCTCATTTCCTCCCCTCTAAGAACTGTTGGCCTTTTTAGTTCTAGCTGGCTGTTTGTCAAATTAAGTGGCTTCCTGCTGTGTTATTCAGTTGATATTATTCTTTGATCTTTAAAAAACACTAGTTTTAGTTTCATTGACTTTATCATTTCTCTATTTTCTATTTAACTGATTTTCACTCTGTTTTTTCTTTCTTCCACTTACTTTAACTTTGGCTAACTCTTTTTCTAGTTTTTTAAGGCGAATGCTTAGATTATTGGTTGGAGATTTCTTTCTAATACTTAAAGGCAATTTAAAGCTATAAATTTCCCTCTAAGTACCACTTTACCTGCATCTCATAAATTTTGATATGTGGGGGTTTTTAACTTTATTTTTATTGACACTATTATAGATGTCCCCATCCCCCTCCCCC